AAACAGACCTCTGGCTTCGTGTTGCCGGGTGAGCCGTTCCAAGCTCAACAGTATGGAGGGCTGGCTTGGAAATGGCGACGTTTGTGGGGGAACTTTTGTATTTTTATCGAAAGGAATTGTATGTAGTATAAAAGTATTTATCTATTTATTTATTTATTAAGCTCGGGGCTAGAAATAAAACGTATTATAATTTTTTTATTGCAAATAAAGGTTTCATGTTTATGATTTACTACCATCAAGTGGAGCTGAAGGCCACTTTTGCATCTTACCCGTCCAACCTTAATGCCTAACTCTGGGCTGATATAGACACATGTTAAACTCTGTATTCATTAACTGTACATCAGAGCTCAGACTGGGTAAGGGAGAGACACCACAAGGAGCCAGGCAGTTGTGCTGCAGTGCAGGGAGCACGCTGGTAGTAGAGAGATGTAGAGCTCATCAGCCTGTTGTTTCTCATTTAAAGGAGAACTATGAGGGGGGTGCTTTTCACTCACCTCATAGTTCGAGCTGACCTGCGACAATGAGACTGTCACAGGTCGGGTCAGTAGATCGGGAAGTGAGCAAACACATACCGAAGGTAAAACACCTCATATATATATATATACATTGTCACAGGTAAAGCAATGTTTCAAGGCCACATAGGGTCCCCTTCATCATGCTTAGGTCCCCTTTCATCTTTGTATTTAGCTGCTAGGCTGAAGATCAGTTTTAACTGCTTTGCTGAAAAAGAGCTGATCTCAATAACTGATGTTCAGATTACACACACAGCTGAATGGGTCAGAGGAGTGACTCATCCCTACATCCTTACCTCCTGCCCTCTCTCTGCTCTGTACTAGACCATGCAGAGTTACAATTAGAGCGACGGACGGTAACAAAACAGCTCCTGTTGTGCCTTCTCTGTAGACACCTCACAATTCTCTGGGAACATTGTGTCATGGATGTCCCTGGTCCCTAAAAAAATATTTTATATTTACTCAATTAAAAAGAAATAAATACTTTTAAAGCCTTTCGGTTTTTTTTAGTCCTTACTCCTCCCCTTCAGAAGCTGGGAGCAAAGATAGAAAGGCCCCGTGTAAGCTCCAAGTCACGACGTGACTGAAGATGCTCTTCTAGTCGCCATGTGAGAGTTTTGGGGCAATCACCAAGCACGAGGGTGTCACGTGAGAGAAAGGGGAGTGGCCACAGAAAGGGGGTAACTTTAGCCTGAAGGAATATTCTAGTTAAAGGTTGAGCCTGGAGGGTTGAGTCAGCCCCTGGCACCTTGTCTTGGACCCTTCAACAGTAGGACCTTCTAACTCAGTGGTTCTCAACCTTTCTAGGGCCGGGACCCCTTGGTATCATTTGCCAAGTGGTGGTGATCCCCAACTGTAAAATTTAGTGATGCACCAATACTAGTATCTGTGTGGGCTCTCAGGAGGCTATGCGGGCTCTCAGGAGGCTATGCGGGCTCTCAGGTGGCTAGTGGGACTCTGGTGGCGTCCGGTGCGGGCTCTGTGGTGCCCAGTGTGGGCTCTGTGGTGATCAAGCACCCACCTCCCCTCACTCCTGCCTGCTCCCCTCTCTCTGATCCTCTCCGGTCGCTGCTGCTGGAGAACTAGGAGGACTGACACAGCCTCGATTGGAGGAGGCTGAGGAGCCTCTTACCTAGAGCAGCACAAGGCACGTGGGGACGCCCTCAACTGTGGGTCGCGACCCACTTTTGGGTCGCGACCCACAGGTTGAGAACCACTGAGTGGTTAGAGTGGTTCTTTCCTGCAGCTGCATACTGAGCTCTTTGGTAACCACTGAGAACCACTGTTTTAACTGTTCCTGTCCCCCTGGGAGGCATGAGTGTTCCCGCCCACCTTTCTATGACCCGCCTTTCTATGGCCCATCTCCTCCTGTTACATCGACCATAATAAAATATGAATGAAAAAGCTCACAAGGGTGAGTAGGACTTTCTCATAATAGGTGTGCAGAGCCAAGAACTCAAACACGGAGATCTCACCGGGGTCTTCAAGACTTAAAGTGACATGAAACCCTCAGATTTTTTAACATAAACCAATACTGTAATGTGCGCCTTACTGTAACCCATGGTTGTTTCCCTTCTCTTTGCTGCTCTTCCTTTTAAATCCGTATCTCTTCTCATGCTCTGCAGAACTTCTGCTTTGCAGCAGATTGCCTTGTCTCAGGAATGGATACACGGTGTCTGTGTATCCGTTTGTATGGGCTTGTAACCTGAGCCAGCACTACAGGAAGAGGCCCTGAGCTGAAAAGGGAAGTTCTCCCCCAGCATGAGAAGACATGAGGATTTAATAGGAAGAGCAGCAAAGAGAAGGGAAACAACCATGGATTACAGGAAGGCGCACATTACAGTATTGGTTTATGTTAAAAAATCTGAGGGTTTAATGTCACTTTAAGAAATTGTTTCCAACATCTTGCCAAAACTTTTAAAATTGGTATTAGATGGATTGATCCTTTAAAGCGCACCTTTACACTAAAAAATCAGATTCTATGTATGATGATTAATAATAACATAGACATGTCAGGTGACAGGGAAATACTGACACTTGCAGAGCGTTCACTTCCTGCTTTGAAAGGGCAAAATGACTTCAGTTTGGCAAAGCGATGCGTCCCGGGATTGCCTTGTCATGAGCAGAGCAATTGCTGGGAAATTCCATCGGTAATTTCATGGGATCAGTGGCGTAACAATCGCCATAGCGGCCCAGGCGGCCGCTATGGGGCCCGGGCATGGGGGGGGGGGCCCGGCCAGGGCCGCCTGGATCGCTATGGCATGTGGGATGGAATCTCAGGGAAAGGCATTTTCTTCCCCTGACATGTTGTGCATGGTCACGTGCCCTAGTCACATGTCTGGTCGCATGTGCCAGAAATCCAGGAAGTAATACGAGAGCTAGTAATCTGCCCTTAGTAAACATGGCCGCTGCCAGAAGACTGGGGAAGAAAAGAGAAACAAGGTATAAAAAGAATACAAAAGCCGGCAATTATCTAGAAGCGTCTGTGTTTGTAGATTGTCATTACTAAACATTTCTAAAAGGTGTGTTTGGTATTATTTTAACCACTTGAAGACCAGAGGGTTACACCCCCTTCCTGTCCTGGCCCGTTTTCAGTATTCAGTGCTGCGGTACTTTGACTGACATTTATTCCGTCATGCAGCGCTGTACTGACATGAATTTTATACCATTTTTTGGGGACAGATAGAATTTTATTTTGGGGGTATTTAATCACCACTCGGGAGGGGGGGCGAGGTTACTTTTTACTATATAACAAAAAAGTACCCTACATTTTGAAAAAGAAAACTGTTTTCCCCATGAAATGTTCTGAAACATTTATTATCACCCCAATTTTTTGGTAAAATATAAAAGTCGGGGTCACATCGGGTAAATAGGCACCAAACATGTCAAGCCGTAAAATTGCGCACGCCCGCGAAGTTGCAGAAAGCTACCATACCCAAAATTGGCCATAGGCGACGCTTTAAAAGTATTTACCGCTCATCAGTTTAGTGTTATCGGTGATTGATGGCCCTAAAATTATTGCTCTCACTCCGACCTAGGGGTCACCTAGGGACCCCCAGAGAAGCTGATGAAGCAGAATACTGCTGCACCAGCTTCTCACTGGTATTCTGTACCGCAGAGTGACACTAAATGCAGGAAGTGATGTAATATACATCACTTCCTGCATTCAGGGACAGGAGAAGAGATCAAAGGGAGATCGTCTACTGAGCTCCCTTTGATCCCCGCTGAGAGCGTCGCCGTGCCGGTCCCAGCCGCACCCGGGCACAGCGCATCTCAGGGGACGGAGACTACGGGGCGGGCCGCAGCTCCTCCCCCCCAGCTGTCAGATATAGGGCGCGAGGTATGAATCCACCGGCGTCCTGTTAATGTGGATTGACGCCGGAGGAAGTAGCCGTCTACCTTGCTATCACACAGGGGGCTTGTTATCTCCTGTGTGATAGCAATAAAGTTAGGTGGGGAAAAAAAAACACATTGATTTAAAAAAAATTTTTTATAAAAATGTAAAAAAAATATTAAATAAAGAAATAAAAAGGTGATTAAAAAGTAAAAAATAAGAAAATAATTATAAAAAATAAACAATAAGATAAAAACTATAAGAAAAAG